CCCTACACAGTCAAAGGCAAAAGCATATCAAAAGGAAACAATAAAGCAATTCAAAGTATCTAGATTTTTAGATGAATAAACTGCACCTTAAGCATGACAAAAGCGGTATCAACGTGTCTAGTTCTCCAATACTGAAAACAGCATCCAGTTTTCCAGCATATTCACACCTACTAGAAGAGAAGAAAGCTTTGCCAGTTGGATACAGTGAGAAGTGATACTGTGCAATAAGATATCCATACACCAAAAGTTCATATAAATCCCACTTTTAATCATGGACAAATTTAGATTCAAGTAAAATTAACAGTTTTAAATAAAATATAAATTAACAAATCAGAGTACTCAAAGCCAAAAAAGAGACACTGTGCATGTCTACTCTAGCAGAAACAAAAGCCTAGGCATATTCCAGTTCTCTTCACCTCACTGGAGTTTCAGGGAGATCTCTGAATGATTATGAAACAGAAATAAAGGATTAAAAAGTAGTGACTTCTGCCACTGGGAGGATATAGCTTCCAAGACAAAAGGGGAATCTGTCACAAATAAACAAAACTGATTTAAGCAGTTTTGTGGAAGCACAGCATTGGGTGCAATAGATTTTTCTTCTCCATCACAGCACTTATTCCGGAATATAAAAATCAGATAAACTGTCCTAAAAGGTTGTTTTCTTACTGCTTTTGAAAACCCTGCACTTCCTTTTCTTTGACTGAGGAGACTCAGAATTGAAAAGTCAAGTGATATCAATCCTGGAATCTGGAAGAGAAAATAAAAACAGTCCTCATTCATCCTAGCTAACAGTATTTCACAATCTCACCCAAAGGATGAGAATTCACACTCATTCTCTTACCATACATAGCTTACGCTGCTGCTACTCATTTACTGACAACGAGCCTCTGCTCGTCCCTTTACACACAAAAGTGCAATATTAAAAAAAAAAAAGTAATTTTTGGCAGATATCGTCTAATGAGACTAAGCCAAGTTGACCCCATTTTCCCATATTTCCAAAGCCTAGCTGTATTACACACTCTAGGCAATCTGCTTCTTCAATGGTTTAAAGGGACAAAAAGGAGGAACCCTGAGGCAAAAATGGCTTTTTGTGTAGCAAGTCCAATAAAAGCTCTCCATCACAGCATCTCATAAGGGTCCTGCAATCTTCTGTGGCGGAAGGCCTTCCTCCATCCATAGGGAAGTAGACGAGCTGTTACGCAACATTCGCCTGTGGATTCGTCTGAGCCTTAGCAGGTAAAGCAGGATGGAGAGCAGCACAATCAGAAAACAGACAAAAAACAAATAGTGATTGTAAACAAAGGAGAAGCTTCTCCAGTGGGAGTGACTTCCACGGAAGTTTTCTTGCTGGATGTCTCTGAAAGAAATCAAAGGCATAACAGACATAAGTTGTGAACCAAACTTTGCCTCCATCTATCTTACCAAAGGAAACGGAGCCCATTTTAGTAGAATACTCTTTACAAAGCATTACTTGCGCTACCTGAAACATGTACCAAGGTTATATATAATGCACTAGAAACAAGATCTTGTCTCCCCCTATCTGTCAGCAGCTCTATCACACTTCTTCCCTTCATAAAACCCCCGTACCTTCCACCCAAACCCTCTTTCCACACATTTGAGAAAGCAACTTCTAGTACCTTAAAGGTAAAAACCGTGTTCGGTAAAGAATGGCTCCCAAGGTCCATTGCACCTCTTTATCGTAAACCTGCAGAGCTGTTTTCAAATTGCTGTAACTCACAGGAAAAGAGAAGCCACTGTGAAATACTTCATACATCCAGGCAGACTTAAAACACTGGTACCTATAGAAAGAGCAGCATAAAGTCAGGCCAGCAGTTACAGAGTCCCAGAGGACTGGAGAGCACACTTAGACACATAATTAGCAGTACTTTCTTATGGCTGATGCAATATTTAAGGTTATATACACATTTTCAATGACTTCATTAAATAGATTATTTGGACATGACCTTGACCTCTCCCTGGCAACTCTGCATGAATGAATTTGCTGTACAAACACAAATACTTACTTCAATCTGTGGAGATCAGCATGTGATGCATAAAGACCACGGTCAAAGCGTTCCCGTAGGACAGACCACTTAGTGGCACAATAATCCTTTAAGAAAAAAAAAGAAAAAAAAGACTTCAGCATTGCTTCTGCGTTCAGAAGAAAAAAATGCCACTAGATAAGATGTTCTGTAAATACCACAAGCTAGAAAACTCAAAAATAATGGCTTCCCTTGCACTGCTAATAAGTCAGATCACAAATTTCATGGTATGTTCTGAAACATTTTCATCTATACTTGGCATTTGTGGTTAAATTAATATTCAGTAGCATTTAAATTCTTTGGTCATGTACTTGGAGATGAAAAATAGACAACTTATTGTTAGGGCACTGACAAAGCAGGTCACATTCTTCTACTTTATGTTGTAGCCTTAAACTGTCCCCAACAGATTGATCCCCTGAGTAACACTTGAGAAACTGGTACAAAATGTATAAAGCAAGAAGAAAAGGAATTCTTTTTCTAACAACAACTAAGACATTCCTAAAAAGAAGCAAGTGGTGGAAGCAGCATGGATCTCCCCATTACCAATAGTTCTGCTGGAACTTGACTACCATGAGTCCCATTCCCTCTAGAGCCAGTTTTACTATTGTGCCTTAAAACAAGTATTCTAAAAGAAAACCCAATGAGGAAAAGAGATGCCCTGTGATAGTTCATTGCAGGGTGAAAGGATTTGGGATCTTTAAAAGGTACATTTTTGTCACAAGAATTTCAGAACAAAATGCTTCTGGAGAGTAGTTGTTTTGAATTAGAAAAAGTTTATCTCAAGAACACTTTACCTTTGCGGCTTTCGTAAATTTAGCAGCATTGTAATCTCCTCCCATGCGTAACACATCCTCGGTGCAGTAGTAGAATTCTGAGAAACCATAGAATTCACTGTTCTGAAAGTGCACAGCAGGCTGATAGACACCATTAAGAGATGTCTGTGTTTCGTTAGTCTTATTCATGAAGGGTTGAATAATTTCACGACACAGATTAAAGTCTCCTGTTCCTCGCAAATACATTATCTGTCCTTTCTGCTGGATCTCATCCTGAGCGTCCAGGGGCAGGCAAGGATCAAGGTAGGGCGAATCAGAAGTCATGCCGGTCTGTTTGCCTAGCAGTCTGTATAAGAGAAGCAAGCACAGTAACAACTGCGTATCAGAAGCGTCAAGCTCTGAGATACAACATCAATACAAAGCAGCCTCAATAAAGAAACTTCAGCATTGCCGGCAGCATGCTGTAGAAATTAAGTTTTATGTCAGGACACTTTACTATATTCAAGTGAGGGGGTTACCAAGCCTAGTGATGCACAGAACCCATATCCCAGGTACCTGTTTTTAAGCGCTGTACTTGTAAATAGACTGTCTTCATATCTCTGCCGTGCTGCATTTCCTCCAAAGCCAAGGAACGTTGCAACATAGACTCTATACACGTGCTCAGTTTGATGCGCGTCGCAGCCCAAGTTGAATTCTGCAAGTAAGTTTTTGGCTACTTCCTCCTGCAGAAACACAAGCACCAAGGTGAAGTATAAACAATATGAACTAGAACTAAAGATGAGTTCTTGGGACAACGGGATGCCCTTGACATCTTTCAGCTTCACTCCTTACTCATCTATTTTGCTTTTCACAGGTCCACGTTACCTTCTACTTGATAGCAATCAATATGCTTTGCTGTCCCCAAGAACTGTATCGTCACTACTGATACTCAACTGCTACTATGGGCGCTGAAGTATCATCTTCTACAAAAACCTACGTGCTGTGGCTATTAATCTCAATGCTACCACTTCCGACTGAGTCCCCGTACTACTGATTGCCAGGCTAGGTAGATTTATGGTCTGCCCAGCGGCGCTGTTCTTCATTTTCCAATCATCATCAATTGTATGCAACTCTTCCTATTTCCAATTCATATTTGACTGGGGCAATCTGCTCTGAATCTAAACGCCCATACTTTTATTTAACAGCCCAAACTATTTGTTACACCATCTGTCTGAAAGGCAGTGTAGTTATTAAAACCTGTAATAATGAAAACCCATCACTCCACAGGAAGATTTGAAAAAAATAAATATATATCATTATAACAGTGCATCGAGACTCAAAACATAGGGCTTTTATGCTATTCTTACTTTAGATAATTTCTCAATGAAGTTAATGGGGGGAAAAAGGAAAATTCAGGAATTACTCTAGAACTCAGTGGGCTGAGGTTAGAGCAATTTATGTTCCATTTAAGACTTTTAACAAAGAAGTTTCCTTCCTACAACAGATGAACTGTGCTGAGGACGCAGGTGATAGTTAAACAAACTGTACTGTTACCCCCCTGTCCCGTTCATTCAGTTTCTACCAACCCAACTTAAAGGAAAAAGTCATCTCTCACGTAAGTTCTTACATAAGAACCACATAACTTTTGGTTTCTAAACCCCAGAATACAGTCTCAAGTATAAAACAAATTTTAAAATTGTACATAAATGCATGCACACACACAAAGAATGCACATCCACCTAAAAATTAGTAGCAAATTATACTAATTGAAATAAAGTTTCTGAACAAACAAAATACAAATGAGTTGCTTAGCTGATGAAGGACTCGTATTTGCCATCTTCTCTTGCCTTGATTTTGGAATGTGATGTAATGAGGAATAGGACTCAAAACAAAGAAAACAAAACAACAAATATGCATTAAAATAAATCAAAAGGAAAAGAAGAAAGTTGCACAGATAATAACCTGCTGCGAAGAGGCAAAGCTTACAGTTTTAGGGACTTCGTACGCTATCTGAGTCGACACTCCGCCCATGTCAAGAATACCCACTGTCCTCTTACGAAAGATGGCCTCTTTGTTTTCACTGCCTGGGACATGCACCTCCACAATCGCTTCATCCTCTGGATAAAACAACGGAAAGGCAGTGAGAAATACAACTAGAGCGAGCCTAAAGCAGCAGCACACCACTCCTTGTTAACTTATTTTTTGGAGCAATGCAGCTCATTGAAATTTCACGTGCAAATTAAGCCAAATTAAGCATCTGCACGCGCACTATTCGCTAGCATCTCTGTCTAAAAACAAGCCATCAACAGTGAAAGCACAGGAATGTACTTGAAGTCCTTCCTACAATCCTATTCACATTTAAGATACTTACCATCATCTGTATGTTCAAATCTTCCAAGAACAAAGTTGATGCCAATCCATGCGTATACTCCTACATGCATAAGAAAACATATTTGGACATTTCAGGGATATCTGGGACAGATCATCTTAAAAACAAAGAGGGATTGTTTGCATATGAGTCAAGATATATCACTGCTCATATTTTATTATATAAAACACTTAGAAGTTAAACATTCCTGACAAGTTATTCTAGTCCTCCTCTCCCAGGTCAAGGCAACAATAAAAATCCTAATTCAATGTATTAAAAAAAAGACAGTCTAAGTTTCAGAAAAAGTAAGCCCATTAGCTTTTAAAGGGATTTTAAGCCTCTAGTGAGCTGATCACATAAAAGCATTGCTCTGCTAGAAACCGTTTTTCCCTGCAAAGTTTCTTCCAGCAAGAATATTGTGCCTTATCGTTACCCCTCCCTCCGCAAAGCCAGAGAAAATGGACTAAAATTCCTGCTAAACACAGATAAGTTATTTTCACTGCTAATTAGAAAACATTTAGGCAAGTTAGAAGATCACAGCAGATGATCATCTCCACACTCCATATGTTGCTACTGAGGAATAAGGTCTCTCAACCAAACCACAGTCTTAAAAAGCAACAACAACAACAAAAATTATCCAGGTTGTACCGTGAAAGTAATAAACATTTCAAAGATAATTTTTCCAACGTTAACCTACCTTCCTGCTTCCCTGAAATAACCTCTGCGTGCGAGTCCGAAAACAGAAAATCAAAATGCACAGGAATATCAGTGAGCAGATCTTCAAGTATTGCCTTCTGTTGGCTGCAAAATTACATTTTCAACAGTTAAAAATAGTCAGACACACCAGGATCTCTATCCTAAATGCTAAAAATAAGACAGCCAATAACCTTTCTGGCAGAATCCGCATCCCTGCAGTACACAGAATATAAAGAGGAGTCTCTTTGTGTTTTGCACGTGGCACATGTTCCGCAGCAAAGCTCAGAAGCGGAGAAATATAATCACTGACCTTTTCAGGAGAGCTGGCAAACTCCGAAATGCCTAGTGAAACAGATAAATATGAAAGTGAAGCAACTCAAGCTTTGGGCATTTCCTGGAAAATCTTGATAACCAACGCACAGAGAAGAAAGCAACAGCCCAAAGCCAAACCCAGGAAATCAACTACAGAAATAAGAAAGTACGAATGAAACTAACACTTAATCATCCTCTAAACAAAACCCGGCATCAGATATATTATCTCTTTATATAATTGGTTCAAATAGCTTTACAGAAAGCCAATTATTTATTCACTAAATAAACAGAACCAAGTTAACTGACAACTGAACCGGCAACTGTCTTAGTCCACAGAGAAACCTCTCCCTCCTGCCCGTCAGTGTCATGTTTCAAGCTTTAAAGCTGAACAGAGCTCTCTGCAAACCAAACGCAAAGAAATCTGGAGGAGTGCCACGTTGACAACTCGAAAGTGTCCTTTACCCAGACACTTTAAATAGGGTTTGAAAAAGCAAAGTGAGGATAGGCAGTTTTCTAGAAATTCGTGTCTAAAGTTAATTTCTTTCTAGTACCTGGTTTAATTTTCATAACCACTGGTTTTCTGTTTTTGTCCCTCATCTGTTTTATGTCCAACAGATCGTGCGGATTACCATTGTGCCTTGGCCAACAATATACAAAAATCCTAGAGCCACTGCTGCCACAGTCCACAACGATGCCATAGTTCAGATTGGGGTTGTTCGTATCTGTAGCTTCAGTGTCAGTTACTCGGGCAAGATACCTAAAAGGAAACTAGGCATTACTACATGGCAATTAAGTTCCATATGGAAGTTTTTCTCAGCATCGGACTCAAAACAGGACAACATTTTCCATCACAGGAATCACATGGTTTTCACTATTGTACTCTTGCTGACGAAAAAAAAGCAAAGTGCCACCCATAAGAATCAAATTCCCAGATACCAAATTCTTTTACATACCAAAAGTAATTTCCAAAATAAGTTATTACGCAATATTTTTGCGCCTATAGTTTTACTGAGCTACTTCAGATAGATAAGATATTAGAAAGTTGAATTACTGATAACCTAAAATCAACTTAAATAAGCAAAGCTTCGTAAAAAATAGCAGGAAGTTTTACTTATACTTTTCTGGCCCCATTGGTGTATTCTACAGACACAACTTGCCAGTGTTTTCCCTTTCAGACCAAAACTACATTTCGTTCCTTTCCACAAGAAGTCTTTTCAACTCTCACCTGTGGAATCTTTTGTCCCTGTATGCACGCCCATACTTATTGCGGATGACTACCAGAGAGTAGTAAAGCAGAGAGACAGCAGCAGCAAGTATTCCTATCACAACGATCTGTCGCAAAGTGGTGTTGAGAATACGCGGACATCCCACTGGAGAGATGCTGAAGTGCCAAGAAGCGGGAAGCAAACAAGAGATGCTGATCCTAAAATTCAAGGAGGATAATCTGCTTTAAAAATGGACTTTATCACCAAAACTAAACACAATGCATTTTGAAGCAAGCTAAGGACAGATTCTTCATAAAGCTTTTTACTTTGCTCTTGCTTTGCACATAGTCTGGCTTGAGTGTAGTCAAGATGCTATTCCCACCTTTGAATTCATGATTAGCCATGAACTCACGATTAGGCTCCCTGTCCTTCACTCAGGAGACATCATCACAATTTAACTGGACAGTTCCTCTGGGATTCTTACCTCCCCATTTTGGGATACGGCCAGCAGACAGAAAGACCAGCCGGTGTTCAAATATCAGCCGGTCACCTCAGACTGACAAGGCACATCAACCGTTCTCCAAACCATTGCTCTTCTGATCCTGAATCAAAAAAAAAACATAAATGAACTTCTAGACAGCATTACCAGAGCATTGCCAGCAGGTTGAGGGAGGTGAGCCTTCCCCTCTGCTCAGCACCGGTGAGGCCACATCTGGAGCGCTGGGTCCAGTCTGGCGCTCCCCAGGACAAGAAATACACAGAGCAAGTCCAGTGTGGGGCCGCAAAGATGACGAAGGTACCGAAGCATCTCTCACGTGATGAGAGGCTGAGAAAGCTGGGCCTGTTTTACATGGAGAGGAGAGAGCTCTTATCAACGCATGCAAACACCTGACTGGAGAACGTGAAGAAGGACGCAGACTCTTTTCTCGGCAGTGCCCAGTGACGGCACAGGGGGCCATTTCCTGTGTTTCTATTTGTGCCATCTGAACACCCGAAAAAACCGAGGGTGGTGGGACACTGGAACAGGATGCTCAGAGAGGCTGTGCAGTCTCCATCCTCTGGGACACTCAAAGCCTGGCAGGACACAGGCCTGGGCAGCCCACGCTAGCTGCCCCTGCCCGCAGCACAGCTGCTCACCGCTCTGCTCAGGGAGCGGCACGCACTGCAGCGCGCCCGTGACACAAGGTCTTTACAAACCGAGTACCTT